GAAGAAGGGGGCCATGCAGAACTTGCAGCCGTCAGGGCTGGAAGAGCTGCGGGTGAGGTTAGATCTCATGGCCAACGCCATCCTGATGTGCGCATTTCGCTACCCGAACAAGGCGGCATTTCAGCGGATCACGCCCAACAGTTTCAGTCGCTACGCCAACCACCTTCTCGGGGAGCACGTCTTCGGACGACAAGGGCCGCAGCATGGCGCCCGCAAGAACAAAGGGCATAGCTGGGTGGACTCTCTGGAGGAGGCCATGGTGGACACCCTGGTGAAGGAGCGCTTCCTGACCACGCCACTGGCATGCAACAGCTGGGTGGCCACCAAGAGCAGGTCAAGGAGCCGAAGAACAGGGAGCGCAAGCCTTGAGCGGACCGTTCTAAAGGACGGAACAAGGGAAAGCCCAACAGAAAGGGGTCCAGCGGCAAGTCGAAGGGGGGCAACGCGCAGGAAGGGGCGTGGCACAGACACCCGACGGCAGGCAGATCTGCTACAAGCTGGCAAGCAATAGGAGGCTTGCCAGTCATAGGGAGGCTGTCACGCTTGATTGTAGGGAAAGCGTTCCAGGGTCGCCCTGCGGAAGGGGATCTTTCTTGGAACGATGTGGTTGGCCTGCCCCACCCACTGACCATGGATGGAGGAGGCCCAACATACCAGGACGCGCATCCCCCAATGGATGAATCAAAGGTGTGTTGGGTGGGAGGGCTGGGAGAAACACACGAATGAGTGACGTGGGAATGGGTTGCTTGCCACTCATGAAACGTCACGTAAACGGCACATGTGTTAGGCTCAGGCCTGTTTTGAGTACCCACCACCATCCCCTTGGCGCCCCCTGACAGGTTGGCAGATGTGCACATGGCCGTTTTCACCGGAGTATCTGTTCGCTTCCAGGGAAATTCTCCCCTGGAACGATGTGGTTGGCCTGCCCCATCCACTGACCATGGATGGAGGGGCAGGCCCAACATACCAGGACGCGCCCCCCCCATGGATGAATCAAAGGTGTGTTGGGTGGGAGGGCTGGGAGAAACACACAACTGAGTGAAGTGACGTAATGTAATGTAATGTATGTAATGTAATGTAAGGTAAGGTAAGGTAATGTGATGTAATTAATGTATGTATGTATGTATGTATGTAATGTAATGTAATGTAATGTAATGTAATGAAATGTATTGTAATGTATGTATGTATGTATGTATGTGTGTAATGTATGTATCTATCTATGTATGTATGTATGTATGTATGTATGTATGTAAGTATGTGTGTATGTAATGTATGTATGTATGTGTGTATGTATGTATGGATGTATGTATGTATGTATGTATGTATTGATGTACTGTAATGTAATGTAATGTAATGTAATGTAAGGTAATGTAATGTAATGTAATGTTATGTTATGTATGTATGTATATATGTATGTATGTATGTGTGTGTGTATGTATGTAATGTATGTCTGTCTGTATGTATGTATGTATGTGTGTAATGTATGTATGTATGGTATGTATGTATGCATGCATGCATGCATGCATGTAATGTATGTATGTATGTATGTACGTATGTGTGTAAGTAAGTAAGTAAGTAAGTAATGTAGGTAATGTATGTATGTATGTATGTATGTATGTATGTAATGTATGTAATGAAATGTGTTGTGATGTCATGCAATGTCTTGCAATGTAGTGTAATGTAATGTAACGTAATGTATTGTAATGTAATGTATGTATGTATGTATGTAGTGTATGTAATGTATTTATGTATGTATGTATGTATCTGTGTATGGATGTATGTATGTATGTATGTAATGTAATGTAATGTAATGTATGTATGTATGTATGTATGTATGTATGTATGTATGTATTGTAATGTATGTATGTATGTATTGATGTACTGTAATGTAATGTAATGTAATGTAATGTAATGTAAGGTAATGTAATGTAATGTTATGTATGTATGTATGTAATGTATGTATGTATGTATGTAATGTATGTATGTATGTATGTATGCAATCCATGTATGTATGTAATGTATGTATGTATGTATGTAATGTATGTATGTATGTATGTATGTATGTAATGTATGTATGTAATGTATGTATGTATGTATGTATGTAATGTATGTATGTATGTATGTATGCAATCCGTGTATGTAGGTAATGTATGTATGTATGTATGTATTTATGTATGTATGTATGTATGTATGTATGTATGCATGTATGTAATGTATGTATGTATGTATGGTATGTATGTATGTATGAATGTATGTAATGTATGTATGTATGTATGTATGTAATGTATGTATGTATGTATGTATGTATGCAATATGTATGTATGTAATGTATGTATGTATGTATGTATTTATGTATGATATGTATGTAATGTATGTATGTATGTATCTATGTATGTATGTATGTATGTATGTAATGTATGTATGTATGTATGTATGTATGTATGTAATGTAATGTAATGTAATGTAATGTAATGTAATGTAATGTATGTATGTATGTATGTATGTATGTATGTATGTATGTATGTATGTATGCATGTTGTAGCTCGCCTTGAGTTTTACAGCGCCGACCAACCTGAGGACCCTGGGGCAGCATCTCTTGGTACTTGTTGGCCACACAATATGACCTGTTTTTCTTTTCTGGCTTGGGTACGTCATTCGCTTTGATTCTTACCTTGGTTGACTTTTTTTGACGCTAGGCACTTGTCCCTGTTGAATGAGTCAGAACAACAACAGTTCGAGGCAGCTGTTCAACTCAACAGTTCTTGGATCTTTGATTTCTGATTGATTTCTTGCTTCTCTTCTATTCCTCGAGGTACCACGCTGGATGTTGCCCCCCTGGACGTAGTTCAAAGACTCAGCCCCCCCCCACCCCAACCCCTTTTTCGGGGAGCCGTGAGCGCTGACAGAGCTTGCCGGGTTGGTTGGGCATCTGACCGCGCTCAATTGTTGTAATTTGGGTGGGCTATTTGTCTTAGAGGGAATTTCCAGGCCACCCAGCCTTGACGACGAAAGAATGGGCAAGGTGAGAAATCTATTTGCCCAGTAACTTTTGTGTGTGACTCGCTAAGTGTGCATCCTTCTACTCGCATTCAATGCTTCCTGTGATTGCTGAGCATGATGTGCAATTTATGGTGGTGCAAGACGCAACATGGCACTCTTGAGCGCTGCCTGACCAGCAAGTGGCGCGATGCAGCTTTCTGCAATCTTGCAAATCTTGCAATCCAACTAGAGGGCTGGACCGTTTGATACATCGATCCCAAGCTTTGTTTCGGTTTTGTTCACATTGGGCCATGCAGACATGCTTCGAAAACACAGCTCTGGCATCGCCCAATGTTTCCGCACATGCTTGCCTCAAGGTCAGCCTATGGCACTGGCTTAGGCCTTGGCATCCTCACAGGGAACGAGGCAAGAGAACATAGCTGGCAGTCCTGTGGTTGCCACAGGCGACGGCCTGTTCACCAAGTGTGGATTCTGGGCATTTTTGCAGAACAACTATGTGCAATGCAGAACGTTTCGACGAAGTATTTCCATCCAGTTCATGTGTGTTGGATAACATGACTTACTTACACAGGGAATAGGCAACTATTTGCGAGGAGGGCAGAAATCATGCGTTCATGATCGAGAGCGATTCAATTTCACATAATTCTTCAAGGAGACTATGTATTTCAATGGCCTGCCCGGAATCTTGGCCTGTGGGCTGTTTGGACTGATTTGCGAGGAGAGCTCGGATTGATTCGTTGCCGGTTGCGACCCTGCATCAAAGCTACTGTTAAAACATGCGTGGGGCTTCGAGCGGTCATGCCGCAAATTCATGTCGTATAATGAATCGGTTTTGGCAGCACAGGTGTGAAAAGCACAGATGGTCATAAATACACGGGCATCTGCAAATTCACCTTCCCAATATTGTAGCTATCTTTTGCAATCGTCAGAATTGGCTGGAAGAGTCACCACACAAAACATTACATTTGGTTCCATGAACGGCTCAGTACTTCTTGGAGGTCAGTCGGTTGGATTAGAATGACACATAAATCTGACTGAGCCTGCCAGGTGTCCCAGAATCTTGGCTCAGTCTCGAAGATCGGGCCAGGCGGGGGATGCGAAGGAACCTTGGAAGCCTGGACAGCGCTAGTGTCAGCCGAAGCCATTCGCGCGCGTCTTCAGGTGCTGCCTCCAAGAACAACAAGCAGAACCGTGGAAAGAAGGATGATGAGGCGACTGGGTCCTTCCGTTGCGTTCTCCCACAGCCGAGTTTCAGATCCAAGCAAGATGTGCCTATCACGGGCTGTTGTTCCCTTGTGACTCTTCCCCGTCTCGTCTCAGCAGGGACTGCACATTTGTGCACCTGCAGGCCAACTACACGACCATCATGCTCCGGAACATTCCCAACAAATATTCGAGGGAGATGCTCATCGACCAGCAGGAGCCTCAGCGTGCCTATTCGAGTCAGCATGTAAACGGCGCCGGCGCTTGGTAGCCGTCCAGGCATCAAGACGCTGCCATTTAAAAAAGCCAAAGCTCGGGGCACTTTTCTATAAATCTGCAATCTTCCCGGACCGATGTTAGCACCTTTGAGTTGTGTACCTAGCTTTCATCCTCAATTTGCATATTGGCCATGGGAGACTTTGTTTCTTTGCCAGCAGAGCATCATGTAACACCTTTCACGCAAGCAATACAGTTTCGTAACATTTGATGATTGAAGAACTTAACGAGCGCAGCTTCATGGTCAGCAGAATAGCGACTCATGGTTCTTTTCCAGGTTCACAGCTGTTTCCCAGCCTGATTCCAGTGCATTGGAAAGCCATTGGCCACCCCTCCATGAGCGACTGAGGTTGCACAGCGCAGGCTTCCAAGGGCAGATTGACTACCTGCCGGGTTGCTTAGATTGATACATTTGGATATTGAGACAGAATGACTGTGATATGGTAGATCCTTGGGTCCGAACCTTTGGCTTCCTGCACCTTTTCCGTAGCCTCGTTGCTGGCAACGTGTGCTCGCACTCCGGCTCAAGGACGTAGGAGCCCGTAGGATAGGAGTGCGCGGAGATGGCCTGGGTGCGAGACTGAGGGGTGACAGCCTGTCAGTTGGTATGGTTGGGCACTTGGCACCATGGCGGTGTCCAAGTCGCCCAGTTTGATGGGTTCGAGTAGGTGGCATTCAACCAGAATCCGTTGCTTTGACAACGTTTTCAAACGCACGGCTAATCCTTTCCGCAATAGCTGAACAAGGCTAGTCTCTCCAGGCTTCGACAGGTAGATGCAGGTTCAGTCGCCCACGACGGTTCCTCCGGAATGTCTCTAGTTTGCGTCCTGCAGGTTCTCGCGCTGTTGGCGCTGACACCGGCCCGGCGCCAAATTCCTTGCTCGTTTTTGTTGAGGGCTCGGGTGAGTTGTCGATAGCTCTCTGCTTGTGCTGGGGAAGGAGATCAGAGCTTGGCTGCACATCGGTTCGTTTAGATGGGAGTCACTGGGTCGGAAGCGGACCATGAGGCTCCATTGCTTGCTATTTTATTAGAGCAGTGCACAAAAAGCTGGCACACGCGATGGATTCCCTAGATATTGCAAGCCAGGTCAACCACGTTCGATTCCATCAAACAGCCCTGCTAAGTCGTGGCAATTTGGAATGTTCCCTTGTTGGAGTTGGCATCCACCGTATGGGGCGAAGCATTGAGGCCGTTGCCGAGAAATGGCTGGCCACGTCCGTGGGCGGTGATGCTCGGGACTCGGGGATGAGTAAAGTGGGCTGATGAGAGAGATAAAGTGAATGCTTCCTGAAAACAGCACCCAACTGGGCGGCTGCCTTGTATGCTTTTGAAGCAAGGGGCATCCCATTCGAGTAGAAGGCTTGACAAGCCACTGACTTTCTCACCTTTGACAGGGACATGGGCAAGTTGCTTCTGCCGTCCGTCTTGGTGCCTGACATGGCATGCAGTCAGGTCATCAAGGCAGCCGGCAATGTCACCCTGGGTGGCCAGGCAGGGTCCCAGATGCGCTGAGAGCTTTTAGCTTGGAACAACTCGTAGCCTTTTTGCAACTATCATGGAAGTGTGTCAAGAGGATGGTAGTCTTCCAATTTTTTTCTGCCCACTTGCATGACTGTTGGAAAGAGGGTAAAACGGTTTCTGGTTGGGGACGGCTTCTCATGGCGCAGATTCACAGAGATTGCTCTGTCAGAGAGTCAGGCCCCGGAGCCAGCGGCTTGTTCCACTGTCCTACAATGGGTTTTCCACGTGGTGCGCCCTTTTTTGTTTTTGTTTTTGTTTTTGGGAAGGGTTCCCCTTTAAAGTCGACCAACCATCACTACTAAGGTTCATGCGCACTCTGCATGCCTGGGCAACAAGAGGATCAGAAGATAAATTGCAAGTCAGCTCCTGTCGAGCTCATTCTTGTTTGCAGCTCATTTGGGTTGCATGATAGACAGCCCACTTTGTCAAGCCTTTTCCAACAAGCAGTGCACGCTTGAGGCGGTGACCAGTTCTTGGGAGAATAACCGCTGTGGTCCTTTGTCTTTTCTTCCGTTCTCTTCACACTTCCAGGTAGGTTCGTACGCCTCGCTGCTGCAGCCACTTGCCTTGGTCATGCTCAGTTATTTCAACGCCCGACATGCTTGATGTTGATGTCCATTTTGTGTGGGAGTTCTGCTACCTGGTTTCAAGTGGGACTATAGCAAGGCCTATGGAAACTCTGAGTAGAACCAACAGTCAACGGGTTTTAGATGCTTACTCAATCGGTTTCCATGCTTTCCTTGTCCGCTTGCACTGCGCACTGAAGATGGAGGGATGGACACCGACGTTCCTTTCTTGCTTTCTTGGACTGCTATGACACAAATTGTACGCGGAGCCAGGAGCCAAATGATACTATCCTTGTGCGCAGTGCTGTGCGCTTGCGCCCCTTCTCAGACCTGCCTGTTCACTTCTCTCAGGTTGGCTTTGAGTGGCAAGGGGTGCAGTGCCCAGCGAAAGGTTGCCATCCCAACGGGCAAATTTTTGCGCTTGAATCCTGTTTTTATGTTCGTGTGGCAAGATCTATAGGCGAATGACGTGCACTTGGCAGCTGCCTTGAGCCCAGGGCCAGAAACCCCTCCTTGGGCGAGATGGCTGCGATCACGGCCTCTTGCAATGGAAGTGCTGGGGGCGGGGGGAAGTCAAAGCCCCCAAGACCTGATGAGCTATTTGCCTTACCTCTGGGATGATTTGGCATTGTGGGAGCCAGAGGTAGAGCGTGTCAGGTTTTGGGTTCGAACTGTGCGAGTGGTTCGGCACTGGACTGGTTGATTGAGGTATGGAGCTCCATGGGGTGGATGATATGTTTGAACGGCGATATTGTTGGTTTCGAGGATATTTATTCGAGACCCTCCAAGGAAAATGCAGCCTGCCGATGCAACACAGTTTCGGGGGAATCATTTTTGAAGCTTTGCGGAAAGGAACTCTTTGCGGAAGGTTCACGGAACTCTTTGCGGAAGGGCTGTTGTTTCGCACGAAACCTACGAAACTAAGCTTAGACACGAAGCAAAGAAGGTGTCCATTGATTTCCCTTTGCGCGCTGCCCGTCTCGAGCAGGCTCGAAAAGAGCCACAAGAGCAATGCGGAAAGCTGAGCCGGGGCTGGCCTGACCAGTCTGGTGGGCTGTAGCGCAAAGTGATTGCCGGGCTGCTGGACATGACGGCTGACTTGGGGGGGACTGGGTGGTGGTGTCAGTGGTCGCGGCTAAGCAGCTGCGCGCTGGCTAAGCGGCTGCAAACGTTGCCTGGCAAGCCGCGTGAAGTTGGCTGGCCTAACCTTGGGGTGGGGCCTGAGCAAGATGCGGAGAGCGGGGTTGAGTCACAGTTCGACGGCCTGGTTTGTTGCTCGCCGTCTGGGAACTGAGCGAGGGCCAAGGCTACAGACGATTGTGCCTGCCAACTGAGTGAAGCCAGCGTTGGGGCAAGGGCTGGGGCTGAAGGCCGCAGGATAGGGGCTTGCTTTTGGGCAACTGGAGCATGGCTTTTGAGCACGTGAAACAGGTTGGGCTTGGCAGTGGTTGTGCTTTTGTCGCTTAATTTTTTGATCCCTGGAACATTCGGGCTTTGCTTGCGCGCAGAATGCAGAGCCTGTGCCCAGAGGCAACGATGCCGCGTGCTTGTGATGCCAACCAGAACGACCACTGCCATATCAGGTACATGAAGCCAGTGCCGGCAAGAGCAAACTAACAGATTCAGGCGTGTCAACCCAATAATTACATCAGTTATTTGCATAACATCTGGTTTGCGAGGTTTGGCATGCAGTTTGCATGCATGAACCGTGTTGTTTGTCCGATTGCTTTAGAGTCTGTGGCTGGTTTGTATCCTGCCCCGGCCGCACAACCAAATAAAGAACACCATTGTGCAAGCAACATTTGCCAGAGTTTGTTGTTTTGACTAGTTGCTTTTCTCTTGACGATGCTTCTCTCGAGGAGTGCTGCGGTGAAGCCGCGCCCCTGGCCGAGTTCATTGCCAAACAGGTGAACGGCAAGGCTTTCTCTGACTTGCAGGCTGGTGCGGAGCGGGGCACAAGCAGCTTCGCCATGAATGTGTCAGTACTGAATTTGTGTGGGACCAAGACTACTTCAAGAATTGTTCCGCGGCTTGCATTCCCCGGATAGCTTTACACAACAAACAATAGGAAAATGACACGTGCATTGCGTGCACCACTGTCCAAGATTGAGCTATCGTCGAGTAGAAATGAAATGGTTGCTCGCGGCCTGCGTGGCGCATGCGGGGGGTCAGGCAGAGATCAAGAAGCAGTACATTGGCGATTTGCACTGCTCTGAGCCAAGCAAGAAGGACGCTTCAGAGAATCTGAGGGTTATATTTGTTCTGTTCATGAAACCGAAAAGTTATAGCAATGCACACTTCAATTCGCAATACAGCTCTGTTTCTCTTTGCCTTTTGATGGGAAAACCCCTTCCTACTCCTACTCCATCGCAGGGCAACCCCAGGCGATCTTCCTTGGATTGGCATCCTTTGACCGCAACCCCAAAAGGGAACCCCTCGAAAACATGCGCGCAGGTTCCTCTCACAACTCCAGCCCAGCTCCGTGATCTTTTGGCCAGAAGGGATGGGACTAAAGGGGTTTCTGTGGGTTTGGACCGGAACTTCAGCTGGACGGGCCGCTGGTGGTTTTGAACTAATTCGCTGGCTTTACAGCACGGCATTTTCGTTGCGCACGATTTGCCGGTTGGCCGGTCAGGAGATCAAGAAGGAGGGCAAGTTTGAGTGCCAGTACGTCTACACCTTCAAGAATAAGAGCCTGGGTCAAAGTAGCCCTGAAATTCATGGGATCGCCCTGAGAAATGCTTGGCGAGCATGAGTCCCCACGTAAGAAATGTCCACCAATGGGTCAGACCTGGACCGCAATATCAGCAGTTTCTCCGCCTAGCCAGGCAACAGGCCTTGCAAGGCATTTGCCGTAATTCCAAAGGAGCTAAGGCGTTGGTTTCTCGCCAGACGAACTGGAGCGACATATTGACTGGGTTTTGTGACGACGGCTGTCACTGTTACCATTCGAAAGCTTCATCAGTCCAACTTCACCGGTTGGCACCTTGGCATCAGACATACAACAAAGAAGTGCTCGAAACAGCATGCGGGTTGCAGTGATAGACATTGAGAGTAGTTCGGACAACGGTTGGTTTTCCTTTGGCTTCCCTTTTAAACAAAACAACCAAAACGAGTCCCTTCATTTGGAGAAATTCCCACATTGTCCTTGTCAGCCACTCTTGTTTGGATGCCGCCAAGAAGTGCTTCCGTGCAAGCGCCCGACTGTAAGACGTGAAACCTTCACGTCCAATTCTGGACCCGCAGGCCTCATGAGATTCCAAAGCTGTTTATATACGAATCTGCCGGAGATGTTGTGAAGCCTGCCAGGGCTCCTACAACATCCCGCCTCTCTGTCACACCTGTGCTTAAGATTGGATCGATGTGATTGGTTCGCACAAATGCATCCAAACCTGTGAAACAACATCATGTTCACGGGAATGACCATATTGTTCAACATGCATGGCTGCAAGCATAGAACATCATGAACCCAAAGCACATTGCTCCTGATGTGTCGCAGCTGGTCAATTATTTGCATATGTGTGCAGCTTTGCGTTCAGCGCTCACCGGTGGAAGCACGTGGCTTTGCATGACAGTGCTAGATCTGCAGCTAGTGTGGGGGAGCCATCATTGTACCAACACCTTTGTCACTGACACCACCAAGGGGTCCGAGCCTAGAGACGCCGAGAAGGGTCTTGAAGAAGGGTGGACACTATTAGGCGTGCTACAGTTTTGGTGGCTGCTTTGGGGGATGCTTCGATCATGCCACAAGCATAGAACGAGATGGAACGGAGAAGAGCAGAGTTGGAACGGAAGCAGTGCAGCGTATCTTGCACGCAGTTCCATCGAATGCAGGGCGCAGGTTTGACCGTGTTGACTTCTGGGCGTCCGAGGCTCTTCTCCGATTTGAGCAATTCGGCCTTTTGCGTCCCTGACGATGTTTGCTCCGTGGATGTGGTGGGCATGACGAAGGGCACCAAAAGTGCCTTGCACGAAGTTTGAGTGGGTTTCTCACGGCGGCAAATGGGTGATACAGGCGTTTTCTCCTGCCTTTCTTGTATTGAGCATTGTGAAGCATGCGTCTCTTTGTGAAACAGCCAACGGAGTCTGAGCAAATGCAGACAGATCCAGGAGCATGCCACTTTTGGAAGCACAGTATGCTGCCCTCCCAGCTACAGATATCATGTTTATCTCCCTTCGCTGCCCAGTTGGCTACAGCGTGGTGCTGCAAATCCTCAACAAACATGCGGGGGATCTGGTGCATGCGGCACATGGCGACATTGGCAGTTGCCTTCAGGCTCGACCCAGTTGCCCAGGTAGTCAGGTGAACATAGGGTGGGGGCTGTCCAGAGTTCTAGCAAGTCGAGTGGCGATGAATACGAGCTTGATGGTTCATCGGCATGGGTGTTTGCATGTGTGCCTCGTACAGGCCATGAACGAAGTGAACCTTGGCCAGCACGAGAAACACCTCAAAAAGGCCTGGACTTGCTGGGTCCGTGAGATACAGTTGCTGGTTCGCAATGCAGGCTTTTCATGGATTTCACGCAGAGACGCTCAGGAACATGCAAGCGAACAATCTCACTGGCGCACTTCACAGCATGACCTCAGAGTCTTTGTAGCACGCTGCATGGCTGTCACGAACTACTCGGCTGTCGTGCACGTCGCTTGGCACTGCTTGCAGTTGCACTGCTTGTGCTCCTTGCGTTGCTTGCGGTACTTGCACTGTGCTTTCCATACTTGCACTTCTTTCTTTCATAGCATGCGCTGCTTTCGCGGCGTGTACAACTTGCACTGCTTACCCAGTTTGCTCTACTTGCACTGCTTGCCCTACGCGAACCGAGCTTCTAGTACTGATCGCGCCATGTATGACTGGCTTGTTTGCAACGCCGTCCACATGTCGCGAGTCGCCAGGTGAAGAAATATGTCAAGCTTGGCAGCCTGAAGATCCCAACAGGTGAGACAACGCCGCTTGCCACAGCTTAAGTTGTCTTTGCTGCTAGCCTTTGGGGCAAGGAGTAGCAGCGTCATTCCATGTGCATGGGTGATTGCTGGCATACTTGGTGTCTGCACGAGCAGTTTGGTTGCAGCATGCTTGCTAGTTCAGTGCACATGAATTGTTCTACCAGGCTGCAAGTGTTCGATCCTTCAAAGAGGCTTTCTTTGTGCACAAGACGAAACGCAGGTTGAGACAAAGCCATGCATGAAGCCAGACGGGCAATCTTGCTGGCCCAGTCTCAGGCGCAGCCGCAGATGTGAACAAACGACATGGCATACACACTGGTTCAGACATAGATCAATGACTTAGGATGCACACGACAGCAAGGTTGTTCAGAGAGGCTGTGTGCATCGCCGCAAACAATGCCTAAGACTGCAGAATCAAGGATATGTCATTGATAGGGCTCCAGGGAATTCGGAGCCGCAAGGCAGAATCAGAACTCAAAAATTATAATCCCCTGCAAAACGACACAGGAGCAACCCATGCCCGGAGCAAGCAGGTTTGCATTTGGCTGTGCACATCATCATGGGAACTGATCCTGAAAGCAGCGCTGTGAGTGCTACGTATGTCCAGCTCCTGGAATAAGGGCAAAAATGATGATTGCACAAAATTGTCTGTTGGGACATGCAAATATTCCCTCAGTAAAGAAACAAAGCAATGACAACCCCACACAAGGTAGGAACAAGCTCAAGCTAGGGGACCATTTCCTTTTGATGGACATTCTTAAAACACCTCGGTAAATCCAACATCCACCAGGAAAACCGAGAATTCCCGAAATGTCGAAGAAATGCAGCAAACTAAACGAAACTCTCAGTAAATCTGAGTCTCCTAAAAGACCTCACTAAACAGAAGCAACACACACACAACAAAAATAGCCAAACATGTCAGAAACTATTTTCAGGATGGACATTTCCCCAAAATCCTCAGCAAATCTAAAATTCAAAACAAATCCTCGAGGAAGCTCACAATTTCCAAAAACCACGAGCATTCCAACAAAAGCACCATTTCAGCAACCCTAGCTGCCCTCGCCCCTGGAACTTTTTTGTGTGTTTTGATTTTTGGGAAGTCTTGAGTCGTTTTTTTCTTTTAAATGCGCTCCTCTCGTTTCTTTGTTTTTTTCCCAGTGTTTTTTGCATTTTGTATTGTTTCGGAACTCTCAAGGTCTTTTTGGATTTGTGCATTTATTGAGAGTTTCTTGTGAATTTTGGATTTTCTGAGGGCATTTCGGAATTTGCATCCCCACACTATCCTTGATCTGTGCTGGAGCTTGTACCTACTAGTACCTTGCCAAATTCTTTCGGTGTCTCGCCCCATGATGTCATGTCTTCAGCTTGCATTGGGATTCGGCCACCAGGCCTCAGACAGGGACGCAAGCTCTCAGAAAGAAACTTTGCTCCAGACAAAAGATTGCTAGAGAGCAGGCAGGTCGGAAGCTATGATTGACTTTGCATTGTTTGCACAGATTATGCAAATGACAGAACGCTACATGTATCACTAAACTACAGTAAACACAGACTATTTATGTTTTCTCTCGGAGCACTCAGGGCGCTGAGCGCTGACCTCTCTTTGGGCAAGCTACGCCTTCACGTTAACAACGAATAGCTCAATTCGGAGCAGCGCATTTGGATGCGCAAGTCTGCCTTCGAGCGGTTTGGCTGTGGGCATGCGCCAGGGAAGTGACCTAAGCGAACTGCCTGAAGGATCCGGGTATCTCTTGACGCAAGCAAGCAGAAGCAAGCGACCAATCAAGCCGTCAAGCGCGCAAAAGGAGATGTAAACAGAATGGCGGACTGGCAAACAGGCAGAGAAGAAGCACAGAACTTCATAGATGCAGAAAGCCGTAAAACAGAAAGGTACGCCAGCCAGCCAACCAGCAAGCAGGCAAGCAAGCAAACACGGTCATGGGCAATAGTTTTTTTGACTCGGTGTTGTGCTACACGCTCCCAGGAAATATGAGTTTGACGGCATGAAGGAGCAAGGCATTGCATCCATGTTGGGTACGTGCGCTAACTCTCCTTCGACGGGCACCGTGGCTGTGAGAGCATCTGACTTTGTCAGTTTTGTTATTCATCAAGTGCTTCAGCCACGCGCTTGTTTCCGCCGAGTTGGACATTTTGGTAGACACAGGTAGCTTGGGTGTGCAGCGTCAAAGCTGAGGTATGCTGTATGTGCTGGACTTAGAGCACAAATAATGCAGACGGAGATGCAGACACTGTCGCAGACACAGTCGCAAACACATGCCGTGGTTGTAGAAAAGTAGCTGCTTTAGCACGAAGAAGCAGTGAACGTGCTGACCTTGCCATTTGAGCAAAAACATCAAACCTTGCTGCAGGTCGAATTGGATACTTATCACTATCGCAACTCCCTTTTTTTGTCCCATCAAGACGCAGCAGATTCTGCTGTTGGCAGGAGTATGAAACAATATGTTGATCCAAAAGGATCGCTTTTTGGCGGCTTGCGTTTTTGTTTTGGAAAGCCGTCTTTCTTGAGAGCTTGTTCAGCTAGTCGTGTTCCTCAAGCTTTTGAACTATTTCTTCTCTCAGGCATTACCTTCTTTCTAACAATCATGGAAGTAGACAAGGGGCTTACCCAAAAGGAAAGGGTTATTCCAACACTCTCCTGTGCACTTCCATGATGGAAAGAGGGCAAGCTTGACTTAATCGCATTGAATCAATTCTTTCTCTTGGCCGAGGTGTTCAAGAACAAGTTCTGGGACTCTGACAGTGGAAAAATCGACATCGTCCGCGCCGCGGCTCCAAATTCGGGAGGTTTGTATTGAATAAGCCCATGCTGCATTGAATATTGCTTTGCGCTTCTTGAAGCACAAGGAACGATCAGGAATCCATTTGGAACCGTTGGCATGATAGAAGCAATGATAGCAGTTAGTGCATACCACACAACTTGGTCACTTGGAGCAGGTTGAACCGCAGATAAATCACACTGAATGATTGCTCTCAAAGGAGAGCGCTAAGTCAAGTGACAGAAACGGTGGATGAAGATCTCGATCCACATGTGCATTTGCTCTTCTAGGATGTAAGAGCAGTCTGAGTTTTTGTGTTTGGTGGCTGAACCAGTCTCGTCTTTTATACGTCACTTTCTGATGCGGCCGCGCTGGACTTGCTATACTGTTTTTGTTTGAGCTTGAGCCATCATACGGCAAAGCGAACCCACGGTGTGAATGCAACCCGAAGGGCCCTTTGGAGACCCAAGATAGACCTTGGTCGTGGATATGTCTTAAGCCTTCGACTTCGACGTAAACCTTGGGAGCGGGGAGGCGGCACGCGAGGCAGGCCTCACTAAAAACGGGCTCGGCTTGGGCTTGGCCTGGACGAGGTCACGGCGATAGGAGTCACAACCTGTGAGACCCTTCCAGACTTCCAGCTGGCCTGCCTGCAAACTGAAACCTATCGCTGCCTGCGGTGCAGGGAGCGAGCAGCAGTTGCCGTACCCAGAGAACGTGTAAGACTCCAGCCTGGCCATATATTGACACCAAAGCTTTGCCAATTGCCAAGGTTTCAACGAGAAAATGGCGAAAGAGGAACAGGAGGAGAAGGACAGACAGTTGTGCTTTTGGCAGGAATTGCCAGCCCAACATCTGCGATTGCGGCACGATACCAGAACGTGTATGGGTTGTTCATCAGTTTTCGAGTTTGTGGGCTCACTGAGGATGTGTAGAAATGGGAAAGGCTGGCGCCGCAAGGGCAAAACACGAACTGGAAGAGTGGCGATCCGGGGATCGCTTCGCCGCGCGGGATTCGCGAATCCCACCCATTTCGGGATTCGGGATTCGGGATTCGGGATTCGCGCATCCCAAATCCAATTTTGAGATTCGGGATTCGGGACTTGGGATTCGCGAATCTCAAATCACATGCTCCAGGAGCTTCTCCGGATCACGTCTCAACTGGAAACTTATTCTGTTCCATACTTTCACAGTCACATCCATGCTGATACATGTCGAGACCTGCACGTTTAGTTTCGTCGCGTATTTCACTTTTTGGGTGCTGCCTGGAACTGATTCGGTGCGCTGTGACAGGAGCAGGAGGAATTGGCTGCGCTCAAGAAGAAGATCGCAGACATCGAGACGCAGCAAGAGGAATTGGAGCAAGGCATTGCGCCAAAGGAGCGACTGAGGTTACGCAAAACACTTGATTATGTTCTGTTGCAACATTTTTTGGGCCGCGCGTTTGAAGGGTCCCCCGCTCGTGTGTCAGTCGGGTCAGGCGGTCGCTCAGTGCGGTCCAAATCCTGTCGCTTAGTGCGGCGCAAATCCTGTCGCTTAGTGCGGCAGTCACTTTCACCTTCACGGGCTTGTTGGGCCTGTTGGGGCTGTTGGGACCGCTGGGCCCGTTGGGACCGTTGAGCCCGCTGTGCCGGTTGGGCCCGTGGGGCCTGCGTTGGGCTTGAGCCCGTTGGGCCCGTTGGGCCTGCCCGCTCGGACCGCTGAGCCCCCTGCTCTGGCTCTTCGTCTTGGCTCGCTTTACTTTTCTTTACAAGAACTTACATGTGTTTAGACACGTGCCAAAAGTGTGGTTTTACCTGCATCTCGGAAGGTTCGCGGAAGGCTCGCGGAAGGTTCGCGGAAGGGCGAGGCGGAAGACGTTTTTTGGAACAATGAATATGGGGTAAACTTCATGTATATATGTATGTTATGTTATGTTATGGTTTTTACGCTGCGCTATGCTATGTTTTGTTTTGTTATGTTATGATATTATGTGTGTAGTGTTATGTATGTTTTGTAATGTAATGTGATGTATGCGTGTATGTATGTTGTGTTGTGTGTATGTTATGTATGCTATGCACGTATGTATGTATGTTGTATGTATGTATGTATGTATGTATGTATGTATGTATGTATGTATGTATGTATGTATGTATGTATGTATGTATGTATGTATGTATGTATGTATGTATGTATGTATGTATGTATGTATGTATGTATGTATGTATGTATGTATGTGTATGTATGTATGTATGTATGTATGTATGTATGTATGTATGTATGTATGTATGTAGTGTGTAGTGTTATGTATGTAACATAATGTAATGTGATGCAACGTCGTGTATGTGTGTATGTATGTTATGTATGCTATGTACGTATGTATGTATGTTATGTGAGTATGTATGTAATGTATGTATGTATGTATGTGTGTGTACGTGTATGTATGTATGTTTTGTTATGTTATGTCCCCTGCTCTGGCTCTTCGTCTTGGCTCGCTTTACTTTTTCTTTACAAGAACTTACATGTGTTTAGACACGTGCCAAAAAGTGTGGTTTTACCTGCATCGCGGAAGTTCGCGGAAGTTCGCGGAAGGTTCGCGGAAGGGCGAGGCGGAAGACTTTTTCTGGAACAATGAATATGGGGTAAACTTCATGTATATATGTATGTTATGCTATGTTATGGTTTTTACGCTGCGCTATGCTATGTTTTGTTTTGTTATGTTATGATATTATGTGTGTAGTGTTATGTATGTTTTGTAATGTAATGTGATGTATGCGTGTATGTATGTTGTGTATGTTGTGTTGTGTTGTGTATGTTATGTATGCTATGCACGTATGTATGTATGTTGTATGTATGTATGTATGTATGTATGTATGTATGTATGTATGTATGTATGTATGTATGTATGTATGTATGTATGTATGTATGTATGTATGTATGTATGTATGTATGTATGTATGTATGTATGTATGTATGTATGTATGTATGTATGTATGTAGTGTGTAGTGTTATGTATGTAACATAATGTAATGTGATGCAACGTCGTGTATGTGTGTATGTATGTTATGTATGCTATGTACGTATGTATGTATGTTATGTGAGTATGTATGTAATGTATGTATGTATGTATGTATGTGTGTGTACGTGTATGTATGTATGTTATGTTATGTTATGTCCCCTGCTCTGGCTCTTCGTCTTGGCTCGCTTTACTTTTTCTTTACAAGAACTTACATGTGTTTAGACACGTGCCAAAAAGTGTGGTTTTACCTGCATCGCGGAAGTTCGCGGAAGTTCGCGGAAGGTTCGCGGAAGGGCGAGGCGGAAGACTTTTTCTGGAACAATGAATATGGGGTAAACTTCATGTATATATGTATGTTATGCTATGTTATGGTTTTTACGCTGCGCTATGCTATGTTATGTCTTGTTATGTTATGTTATTATGTGTGTAGTGTCATGTATGTTTTGTACTGTAATGTAATGTGACGTAATGTAGTGTAATGTGATGTATGCCTGTATGTATGTTATGTATGCTATGTACGTAAGTATGTATGTATGTATGTATATAATATATATAAATGTATGTATGTATGTATGGTATGTTGTGTTGTGTTGTGTTGTGTTGTGTTGTGTTGTGTTGTCTTGTGCTGTGTTGTGGTGTGTTGTGTTGTGTTGTGTTGTGTTGTGTTGTGCTGTGTTGTGGTGTTGTGTTGTGTTGTGTATGTATGGTGTGTAATGGATGTTATGGTATGTATGTTGTATGTATGTTGTATTTATGTATGTTATGTTGTGTTGTGCTGTGTATGTATGTATGTATGTATGTATGTATGTATGTATGTATGTATGTATGTATGTATGTATGTATGTTTGTATGCATGCAATCATGCATGCATGTCTGTGTGCATGTGTCAATGTAATGTAATGTGTGTAATTTATGTCATGCGTTGCAGTTCATGCGTGTAATGTAATTTTGTATGTATGTCTGTATGTATGTATGTGTGTGTATGTATGTATGTATGTATGCATGTCTGTATGTATGTATGTATGTATGTATGTATGTATGTATGTATGTATGTCTGTATGTATATATGTATATATGTATGCATGTATGTATGTGTTTAATATATGTAATATGTGTAATTTATGTATGCATGTATGTATGTTTGTAATGTGTGTATGTTATGTTATGTTTTGTTATATGTTTTGTTATGTTATGTTATGTGGGTAATGCTATGTATGTAGTGTATGTATGTAATGTAATGTAGCGCAACGTAGGCCCGCTGAGCCCGTTGGGCTCGTCGGGCCCGTCGGGCCCATTGGGCCTGTTGGGCTTGTTGGACCCGTCGGGGTCGTTGGGACCGCTGGGCCCGTTGGGCCCGTTGAGCCCGTTGAGCCCGTTGGGCCCGTTGAGCCCGTTTGGCCTGTTGGGCGCGTTGGGCTCGTTGAGGTCGTTGGGCCCATTGAGCGCGTTGGGCGTGCTGAGCCCGTTGGGAGCTTGGGCCTGTTGGGCGCGTTGGGCCCGTTGAGGTCGTTGGGCCCATTGAGCGCGTTGGGCGTGTTGAGCCCGTTGGGAGCTTGGGCCTGTTGAGTTCGTTGGGCCCATTGAGCGCGTTGGGCGTGTTGAGCCCATGGAGCGCGTTGGGCCCGTTGATTTGATTGAACTGACCGGTTTAACACCTGGGTTCTGACTGCACTAAGTGACGGGTTTTTTGCTGCACTAAGTGACCTGTTTAGCACTTGGGTTCTGACTGCACTAAGTGACGGAATTTTTGCTGCACTAAGTGACCTGCTGACCTGTCAGTCGGCCGCCTGGTTTGTCAGTTGGTGAGTCGGACGCCAAACCTCAGCCCACCTTTTTTTGGTTTTGGTGGCGTTTTGCAAGTTTTGTAACTTTGGTGAATTCGGTGGCTTTAGCCTTCCACATCCTCAGCATCACCAGCAACCTAACCGACCTTAAGCCACTCTAAACCAGCACTAAACTATCTCCAAACCACCCTAAATCAAGCGTAAACAAGCCCTAAGCAAACCCATACCAACACTGAGCAAACCCAAGACCAAGTCTAAACTTGTACTACAACACTAAAGCATCCAAACCGCAGCTGGACTGCCCGCACCAGCAGCGAAGTCCGTGCCCATTGAAGCCAAGTACTTCTTGCTTCCAATCATGACCGTTTCAAAGCTAGACATCCTGAACCTGATCGAACCTTGATCTCGAGGCCCGACACAAGTGTTCGCAATGTCCCACCAGCTGCCAGTGCGCCGCAGCACTTCCGTCCACCCCGGATCAGGGCCGTCAAGAATCTAACGCCCAAAGAATCTGAAGTTGGTACAAAGCCTGTCGTTACGTTGCAAAAGACAAAGTGCGCTACGCGCAGCGCCAGTAGAGGTCACGACATAGTCGAGGTTGACGCCGTTGTGCGACCTGGCCAAGAACAGCTGGAGAGGAAGCCAGTGCCGGGAGGATCGCAAAACCCCTCAAACTGCTTGCGTGCGCGGCTTTCGTTGCACGCCACGCCCAAAATTTTCGACACTGCCTGCAGTCAGCAAGTCTTTCTATGAACTTGATAACTCGGGGTGGCCGAGTGACGGTCAGGCTGGGCTACACCCATCGTGATGTTGATCCAGCAGCACGGAAATGTGATCTCACTACGCGCGGTGATGTGCCATCCGGGGCCCAACTGCAAGTTACCTGTAAAGCTAAACCAGACTCTAACTTATCCGAAACCAACCTAAGCACAACCTTGCGCCCAACCGAAACCAGCGCTAGGGATGTTGACGGTGTTGGTGGAAACAACAGGTGCAGTTTGTTAGCGAATGCTGTAAAACATGGTGTTTTCGTGCCTGCCGAACCTGCCGCACCCAGGCAAAGTCCATCGGCAGTTTTCCTCGAGTCATTTGAGAACCAGCTCAAAGGCAACCGAAAAGATAGACGGACATGTTGGTGACTTCAAGTGTTGTTCGAGAGAGGCAGCATGAGCTGCGCCCAGGTTTGAGCCTAGCATCGTTTCAATTGTGCGTGCCAAGCTCAACGAGCTTCTTATGGTTTTCAGAAATAAGATCTATTGGGAGTGGCCGGAAACCTTGAGGTTGACAGCATAACGTTTTGTTCACAAAAGTGCGAATGCCTTGACCCCTGCCCCTTGAGCAGCAAGGGCTGCAGGATGGCGCCGTCTCTTAAGTGCAAGCGTGGGTAGGATGATTCCTGTGGCAGGAGACGGCGCCCTCGCCAGCTCCAGTTGTGGACGAAGAGTTGGAGGAACTGGAGAAGCTGCTGAATGCCACCGAGGACTTGCGGCAGGCTGGGCAGCTGCAAGTTGTGTTGATTTCTACCCCCGAAGTGATGTGTTCAAGAGGCAAAAGGATTTCTTCCATGCTTTGCTACGGATATTCTAGTGCCCACCCTTGGATTTCAGTGTGTCGGCATTTTGCAGGAAGAGCAGACGAACGAGTCTGCAGCAGAGCCCGCAGTCTTGCCCGCAGCGCAGCCAGCAGCAGTCTTGCCCGCAGCGCAGCCCGCGCTGCCCGCAGCCTTGTCCCCAGTCTTGCCTGCAGCGCAGCCAGCAGCAGAGCCCGCTGCGCCGCCCGTGCTGCCTGCAGCGTTGTCTGCAGTCTTGCCCACAGCGGAGCCAGCAGCAGAGCCCGCAGCGCCGCCCGCGCTGCCCGCAGCGTTGTCCGCAGTCTTGCCCACAGCGGAGCCAGCAGCAGAGCCCGCAGCGCCGCCCGCGCTGCCCGCAGCGTTGTCCGCAGTCTTGCCCACAGCGCAGCCGGCAGCAGAGCCTGCAGCGACGCCCGCTCTGCCCGCAGCGTTGTCTGCAGTCTTGCCCACAGCGCAGCCAGCAGCAGAGCCCGCAGCGCCGCCCGAACTGCCCGCAGCGTTGTCCGCAGTCTTGCCCACAGCGCAGCCAGCAGCAGAGCCTGCAGTGCAGCCCGCGCTGCCCGCAGCGCTGACCGCAGTTTTGCCCGCAGCGCAGTCCACAACACTGCCCGAAGCACTGCTTGCAATCTTGCCCAAAACACAGCCAGCAGAGACAACACTGCCTGCAGCACTGCTTGCAATCTTGCCCACAACTCAGCCTGCAGCGCAGACGTCAGCAGATTCCGTGGCAGAGACAGCCGCAGCTGAGCCGTTCTTGGCGCCAGCAGCTGAGCCAGCAGCAGAGGCGGCAGCTGAGCCGTCCGCAGAGCCAGCAACGGAGGCGGCAGCTGAGCCGTCCGCAGAGGCGGCAGCTGAGTCTGCAGAGGAGGCAGCAAAGGCGGCGGCAGCTGAGCCGTTCTTGGAGCCTGCAGAGGAGCAGGCAACAGATTCCACAGAGGAATCTGCAACAGATCGCGAAGCCACGGAGGCTGCACCGTGGCAGCAGTCTGACTTTGAGCCACTGCCTTCAGCAGAGGAGGCTTTTCCATGGCAAACGGGATCGCAGGAGCATTACGTGCTTGAAAAAAGTTTCCGCGTTTGATGGAGAGCGCCTGTGCGCGCCACGTGCCTGTGCGCCCCCGCGCAGGCGCGCATGCACGGCCGCACGTGCACATTGCACACACGCGCACACGCACACAAGAAGACGACATGCACACGCGCACGGGCCCCACACGCACATCGCGCATGCGCGCCACCCACGCGCACCAGGGTTTGTGGATCGGCCGCGGTCAATAGATTTGCAAAGATGAGCAGCACATTTTGAAATGCGAAAGTTCCTCACTTCTTCTTGAAACATTGTTTGTTGAACGTTCTGAGCTTCAGCCCTGCCCGGCAGCAGCCTTGAAGGACTCTGCAGACACTGCGCCGCTGTACACCTAGACGGGCAGAGACGAGGTACGGTCAAAATGCTACCTGTCCATTGGCCAGTGTCCCTTGGATAGAGCTGTCAGGGTTTGGGCTGTCTGGTTTTGAGAATGCTCAGATGCAACATTTTGACTGTAGCTCCGGAGCCGATTGCCAAAGGGCAGGCTCCTGTGACATTGTGACAGCGGAGAGTAATTAGTTGAACATATCTTGGCTCAAGCGCCAAGACCTGCCAATGTGAGAATCCTGGCTGCAGAGCAGACAGATCTGAGTTTTACAGGGTGGTCAATGCACCACGCGCAAGAGAGGAAAAGGCAGAGTTGTTCGCCAGAACAAGCTGCTCCTCTTGTGGAGCAGCTGAGTTTCAGTTGGAGTGGCCTGGACGGCGAGGTCTGGGATTCAACCCGAACAGCTGTTTCTGGCAGCGATCCAGAGGATAACCCAAACGTCAACCAGCTAACCTTCAACAGACACTGTCTTCTTTTTGTATCCCGATCACGCCACATGCCCCGTGCTTGCGGCGCACTATGTAGCTGCCCAGTTCCCGTCAAAGGACAACCGTTTTGCAAAAACCATTCCCCTGACGGCGCAACTATTCACCGAACGCGTGCTCTGTGCGTTGTTGTTGACGTGTTTGCAAGCATGAAAGGTTCAAACACATGTAAACAGCTAGCAAAGCCAAAACATGTGCGCTTCGCGACAGAAAGGCACCTTTGTGGGAGGGAGATGGATATGAGCAAGCCGGTAGGTCTCACAACGTTATTGCCTTGGTGGAAACAAACCACCATGTCTGCTGCTTCTACGTTTGAAGGCTATGTAAACTTGGCATCATGCAGGCAAAGGTTGCTGCAAGTTGCTCTTTTGAATCAACCTTCAATTGGTGCCATCAAATGTACATGCTTTGGAAGATTGGGGCCAGAGCCGGTTTTTATCAGTCGTATGTGCATCCCCCCGCTTTACTTTCTTTTTGGCACGGTATGCTTTGCAGCTGGTATGAGTGACAAATGTTTTTTTCCCCCCCCAGCGAGGAGACTTGTGACAGGCTGGTGTCTCAAGTGCCAACTTGCACAGTGGCTTCATGCTGAACAACGGCATGTTTGAATTGCCCCTGCCTTTCTACATCCTTGTGAAGGTGTGGCCGACCTCCTTCCTTCTTTTCGTGGCACTTCTGGCTTCGTCCGCCGAGGTATTTGCCCATTGACTTTGCCAACCGCTGCAATGTAGGCCGCGTTTTGCGTCACGCGTGCTCCGCCTTTTGGGTTTCGCAGCAGCGCATGTTTTGGTTAGCCGTGTCGGAAGGCATTTGGTGACTGACTGACACGCATGTCACACACACACACACAAACACAAACACAAACACAAACACAGACACAAACGCAGACACAACCACAAACACAAGCACGACCACAACCACAACCACAAGCACAAACACGAGCACAACCACAACCACAAGCACAACCACAAGCACAAACACGAGCACAAGCACAACCACAAGCACAACCACAAGCACAAACACGAGCACAACCACAACCACAAGCACAACCACAAGCACAAACACGAGCACAAGCACAACCACAAGCACAACCACAAGCACAAACACGAGCACAACCACAACCACAAGCACAACCACAAGCACAAACACGAGCACAAGCACAACCACAAGCACAAACAATCAATAATTCATACGCAAAAACAGAACCAGCACACATTCTCCCACAAAACCACACAAAAGAATAAATAATTAGAACCGATCACACATCAAACAAAACCTAAACTCAGAAACTCACAAAACACATGAAAACACAACCACACAAACATGCAAACGCACAGACAAACACACGCACAAACACACACACCCACACCCACACCCACACCCACACACACACAC